CACACACGCACACACACACACACACTGACAGGGTCGTTGCAATATGCGTTTTTGCTGCCTGTTGCAACGTTCTAGCGCTGCACGGCAAAAACGCATAAAAATTCTGGTGGCCCGTATGTGGGTACCACGTATATCTGGAGATTGGGTTTGAGCTCAATGAGACGCAGCTCGAAGGGGAGCACCCCCTTAAAATTCCAGTTTTCTAGCTTCTCAAATTTCCGAGTTAGTGACATACCCCAAAAAAATTCCGGTGGGCCTGTACGTGGGCACTACGCGCGTAAGAGTGCCCATTTTAGGGATTGAGGCCCGCACGACCTCTGTAGCTTTTGTAGGTCTCGAGATGAAAAACCGTGACAGACGCACACGCGGACACGCAGACATACACACACAGACAAACCCTCGTCAATATGCGTTTTCTGCATTGCATAACTGCAAGAAACGCATAAAAAACAAAAGTACTGAGCTTCTTACGGAACAGAGCTGAAGGTTTCTATGTAAAAAGCTAGAAAAACACACCAGAGGACGACTGGTCTCATCAGTTTCAACTTTTTCAATAGCCTGTAGAGTATCAGTGCCACCAACAACCCGTCCAAATACTGTATGCTTTCCATCGAGATATTTGCACGAGCGGAATGTGATGAAGCTAAAAAGAAAGCATGCTTTCCGCAAGAGTATACATACATTCGAGAACGAGCTAAAGAGATGATTGAAGCTCAAAAATAAGCAAAATGAAGACAGTGTCAGCTGCAACGGCCACAAAATTAGGACTGCTCAAACCATCGACACATAACGGAAAAATCCCATTAAAGGAGGAAAGCAGGCCAAGCTCAACTGAACTCGGGTAAATGAATTCGATAAACTCCAAAATAAGAAAGAAAATATCAGAGCCATTTGTTTCAGACTGATTTCAACAACTGATATTGTCACAAGAGTGCAGCTATAATTTAAAACAAGCACTGCCTGAAGAAACGCAGAACGCAAATGCTACTGCTGTTGCAACACTATTTCTCAATCTTACACCCTAGACTTAAATTTTATACAGTCGGAACACTAATGACCTGCAACCAAATGTGATAATCCGTGTTTCAATTAAAACTTAACACTAAAAAAATGGAAAAATCGAGAAATTAAAGGGACTTTCTCTAGCAAGATTACCAAGTTTGCCAGGGAAATTAGTGTGAGGACAGAATTTGATATTAGCACTGCGGGTTAGCTATACTAAGCTCCACGATCCCGAGCTGCATATTCCATTTAGCGCCCACCGCCTGCTTGATGCATGTGAGCCACTTTTTCGGAGGCCGCCTAAATAGTCGATTATTTTCTCCTGGACATCGCCCATTAATATGCGATGTCCGTCGGTTGGCAGCATCGAGGGTGATACGCTTTAACAATTAGTTCCTCGCATGATTGTTATGCTATCCTGCGCGTCGCTCATCAGATTTTTGCACTTCAAATGTCTTTTACTGCATCGCTTTCTCCTTCAGAGATAGCACTCGCTCCTCCGCTTTTGTCCCTGACCAATTTTCGTGTCTCTACGTCATTTCTTCAACACTACGACACTAAACAGGAGTGCAAGATCCGGGTCTCGCGTATGGGCAGATGAAAGTTTTGGCTCGAAAATTATTGGCTCGGGAAACAGAAAGGCTAAGAAATCGAAATTTCGGAATATCCCTTATCCACATATGCCCACTCCCGGTTTATGCACAGATTTTATGCAGGAACACTGGAAATTTATGGCATCAGAATTGACAACTCGGGAGCCGTGAAAACTAGGAAGCCGAAATTTTAGAACAATGTTTCCGCAAATTCAGTCCCGCTCATGCTATTTTCCAATTACGGGCAGATGAAAATTTTGGCGTCAAAATTAATAAGTCGGGAATAACAAAATTTGGGAAGCTGGAGAATACTCCCTGCCGTCGTACGTGCGTGCAAGTGAGAGCTTTGGCGCTGTAATTATTAGTTTGGGAACTACAAATACTTCTGCACATATCAAACAGTAAAGCAGTGAATACTTCCAACAGCAAGCTTCCTTTCGACCGAATTGCACAAGCACCCGCTGGACAGAATTGTAAAAAACGCATGATCGCATTAGCCACTCTGATGCGTGCCGCTACTTGTTTATTTTTCAAAAGGAATTCAACAGTTCCTTTTTGGATCCTCTGAAGTTAGTTGCATAAACGGCTTTGCATGTATCGAGTTCCAAGAACAAGGCGAAAGTGTAACTGAATATTTCTTGAAATGTTTCTCGCAGTTCTCGTGGTATGCAGCAAGAGATCGAGGGAGAAATGCTTTCCTCCATCCTGAAGGACTTTTCAGCCTGGCGAACAAATCTAATCTCACTGTCATGAAACAATGGCATGAAAGAAGCAGAATCTGGAACGACAGACACATTTCACTGATTTTTCTCTTGCTACTTAGAATTGTAGGCAATTTCATTTCAGGAAACATTGTCCCGCGCTTGCCAAGTACCCTTCAAGCACGTTTCTTGAAAAACGAAGACATCAAGCAGGATTTCAAGCTTCTGGTAAATCCACGAATCTCTGGCCCCTATCGCTTTTCGTTCCCAGTCCAAACGATCCAGTAAACCTTTCCGATCGGAATTCACTTTTGATTTTGACACAGAAGTTCCTAGGGACCACCGTACCAACTGTTTCCTGCTGTAGAATTCAACTGATTTCCTTTCAGAAACGCTTGACGCCTGTACCACTGGTCCATAAAGTGAGACAGTTGAGAGGACACTTATGATGTTATTTTTGCCGGCAAGTGAGACTGCCAAGAGGACGCTGATGAAGTTGCGAAATATGCGTTAACAGCACTTCCACGTGTAGTAACAGGCGAGGGACTATGACGCATGCTTTTTGGCCATGGAAACAGTCAGCATTTCCCAAGTTTAAGCATTTGCAGTATTGCCTGTTTTCGGTGTTGGCTTTTACGCACACTTTCCTTGTGTTTATTAAAATTCAGCAGTAATCAAAAAATTCCCTTCATGTAGAAAAAACTTATGCTATTCGTGAAGCATAACTGGTCTACTTGCTCACCATCGATGCGCAAGATAAGATTTGTCACCTGGATCTGCAAGATAATACTTACAACTGTGATTTATTCGTGTCATTTCCCTGATTTGCCATGCTCAAAACGCCACGCTGATCATGGCTAAGTGAACGCACAATCTCATCTTTGAACGGTCTCCCCCAGATCGAATCACCGCCCTTTCCCGTTCCAGTTGGATCGCCTCCTTGCATCTGCAAGCGAAAAAACGCCACAAAAATACGTCAGCAGCAATAATGATTACAGTATATTAAGCGACAGCGGTAAATTGATATATGCCATGTTTCTTTCTAAGGAAACGACGAAAGAAAGCAAGTAAACCCAAAGCTACAAACCAGGAGCAGGAAGAAGAAGCTTAGTGATGCATGATCTGGCCGAATGAAATACGGAAAGGTGCAGAAAAATCAGGAAACGACAAGCAACTAAAGCACTAAAGCAAGTACCATGAAATTTCGGATGATTCGATGAAACTTGCTATTATTGTAATAGCCACTACTGCAATGTCTGATGAAATTTTCACAAGCCCTTGGTGTCTCTTTGCAATACAGCTCAATATTTAATGATCCATAATTGGTGACCAATCTCACATAACCATTCTTTTTCACTCTTGAGTACCTGCAAAAATGTGATTACAGATCCGCCAAAAGCACTGCCCCATCAGTGCTAAGCCCTCTTCTTTCCGCTCTTCCCCTCCCCCCGCCCAACAGTTAGGCGGAACAGGGAGAGGAAGTGTGATATTCCTGACCACCTACAAACAGTCTAAGTTTACAGCCCCTGCTCCAGAGAACGGCAGAACTGCTTATGCGATAAGCTGTACAAAAAGACAAGGCAAGAAAGCGAGAAATGTAGTTCGAATTTCGCACAACTTAGCCAAACTGTTCAAAAGGAACATCAAAGTTGACTGAGATAATGAAACTGAGAGCCCGGTCTTCAGTGTCTGTTTGTGCTGTGTGTTTAATAGCACTGGCTTATATCAGCCATGCTTTAGGAAGGCTTAGAATACATGTGAGCCATGTTTTACTACTTTGGAACTATCCATCTCGCTCTTCTCCTTCTCTCGAGCTATATGTCAAAGCCGTTGTCCATCTGTTCTGTTTTTCACAGTTACAGCTGTCTGCAGACTCAAAGGACTGATTCTCAAATTTCATACCCAACTGTGACCAACAAAAGCTCTTTATCCAATTATGAATTCAATTTCTTTCTCACTAACCGCAAATTCACTTCACAGATTCTGCAACCCTTACGAAGAATACATGTAAGCTACAACATTACCAACGCCCACATCCGTACGAACGGCTTAGCACGCCCTAGCCCATCCTTATTTCACCAAATACTGATTCCGGTCAGTACAGATTCACATCTTCTATGCCAGATCGCATAAAACGATACACTTTTTGTCTTCTTTGAAATTCCTTTACGCGGATCAAAAGCTCGTTACTGCTAATGGCAAAATTAGTCAGAGATTAAAAAGAAACAATTTTAAAAACAAAAAAAAAAACCCACTTGACAGTATCAGCATCAAGGACTGCTGCTTTTTGCTTAGTAATTGGCTCCATTGTTGTGGATGTTAATCCAGCGGCTACGCGACCTTGACTGTAATGTGCTGCATTGAGCTCATCCGCCGCTTCCTCCACCAGTTCTTCGGATCTCTGGAAAACTTCAACGGTACTGAGGTCGCTGTCCAACGTTTTCGAAATATTGCCCCTCCCGCTCCCCTCCACCCTCCTATATTTCACTCCAGAGCGAAAGCATTTCAAGACAGTATGCGCAGTACAACTATGACAACATTAACCAAATCTGGTGAGCAAAACTTCATGCGTTACTTAAGGTCAAAGAAACGATGGCTCAATATTGACTCACGATGAATTCTACAGAGAAAAATTTCTAGTCGATATTCAAAGCGCTCACCGGTGGAACATATTCTTTTGCGAGTTTCTCCAAGACCTCCTTAGTTTCGTTATTCATTCGACGGATGTTAAACCTTGGATCGCTCAGAGCCTTATTTTCAGCTTCAATTTCGGCTTTTGTTTTCAGATCTAGTTTTATATGATGGAATTGTTCGATGTTGAATTTTTCCAAATGAGTTGGATCCTGAAAACATTTTACGATTCGTGCGCAATAAATAAATGCTGCCACATCCGAGGTCTTCTAGGATTCTGGGATATTTGTTAATGCCAAATGCAGTGGAGAATGCAGTTTTGTTCTCTAGCAGACTGGTATTCATGCAGTGTAGATTATCAGCCGAATGACAGACACAGGAATACACGTCGGATGATATTCGAGAGGATGGAGCGTGCACGACGCAGGGAACAACACGACAATACTCCTAAAGTCATTTTCCCTCTTGTTGATGACAGCTACGCAAGCAAAATGGGTGAAGTTTTGCCTAACAACCTTTGCGGCAGCTTGTACAAAAAAAAAAAAGAACTGTACCTGCAAAACGATGATATCTTTCCTTTGGAAAGGTTCATCATTGAGGAGATCCTTCAGATGCCCGCGCTTTAAATTCAACTCCTCAACGGCTTCATACGAATAAACGTTACCGGTCTGACGAATAGCCACAATATGACTTGTAGGTGTGAAAATGCGGAAGGTAACCGGGCACCGGAAGCTGCCTACAAAAATGTACTTTAACTCTGGAATGCCTAGCGCAGCAAGGAATGACGGTGAGTTACTTCGAAATCACTACACTCAGCAGCGAGATGGGCAGAGAACAATATTTTTCTTTTCTGGCAATCGCATATCGAAACTACCAATTCTTTGAATTTTTGCCTGTGCAATCAAGCATACTACCACTAAATTCTTCGCAGTACACACTATCTTCCCTTTCTCGCTTAAAAACAGAAATCTGGCTAAACCACAACTATCGCTCTGCTTTCTAAAAATCTGCGACACTTTTGTCTCCCCCATTTGTGCTACACCAGTTTAATAATAAACAAAACACGGAGAAACTGACTGTTCCACTGGCGAAAGCAAACAGTCAACCAGAGCTCTCTACCTGCAGGTGTAAAAAACAATAAAAAAGTATTAATGAGCAGTGGTAATGATGAATCCAAGAAACGCCGATGGCTCACCGTCGCTGCTTTTGTCGAATTTCAGATGGATTAATTCTTTTGCCGTCATTTTCTTACCAGTTACTGGATTTACGCCGTGCTTCTTTAAGTACGGAATAATATGGCTAAAAAACATGAAAGCGGGTAGGCAAGCCGCCCAATAAATTTTTGCAGCTTTGCAGAAGAAATTATCGAACACATTTTGCCGCAACTGGTGCTATCGCTAATAATATCTAAAGACTAATCCCCCAACTCAATACTGCCGACTCCTGATGCAAGGCCTGCTTCAGCTACCCAATTTTTCTGGTTCCTGAGTTAGTAATTTCCGCACTTTAGGCGTACGCGGGAGGCTGGATTAAGTCCGCGAAATCACACGCGGGCAGGAGACATCCGTCTACAGTTTCAGCTTCCCAGCTCCTCTGGTTCCTGAGCCAGAAGCCCAGAACAAAATGCACTCGGAACATACATATAAACTTAAAAATACGTATTTTGTGCAACGTTTGCAATACACAACGCAGGACAGACGCTGTTTTTCGATGTAACATATAACGTACAGCCCTCCAATGTTCTGCACACTTTCTTCCCTCCCCGAAGCTACTGCTCTGCAAGTTCAGCAAGTAAGACGTACGCTAAATCGAATATGATACCATCATCCTGCGAGCAGACGGGATCATCAAACGGTAGCAGTGACAGGGCGCAGTGTGTTATCGGTAGACGTTTGAATACAGCCCGTTGCATGCGCTCCTCAGTGCCTGAACATCGCACATATCACTGTTCCTGCTTCTTCACATGATCGCAAATGATACTGAACACAACAGCGAATGAATGTTTCTGAGAGCTTACCATCCTTGTGTCCACCATAGATCTCTTTCCACTCGGTCGTCGTCAGATACCTCAATAATAATAATAATGATAATAATAATAACAATAATGATAATAATAATGGTAATAATAATGATAATGATAATAATAATGATAATGATAATAATAATGATAATAATGGTAACAATAATAATAATAACAACAACAGTAATAATAATAATGACAACAACAACAACAATAATAACAATGATAATAACAATAATAATAATAAAAACTAATTGCTCGGCCGGCCTGCTAGTGCACAATCAGTGTGCCACCCTGCCCACTCGCCACCAGCCCCCCCCCC